GTGTGTGTGTGTGTGTGTGTGTGTGTGTGTGTGTGAGAGAGAGAGAGAGAGAGAGAGAGAGAGAGAGAGAGAGAGAGAGAGAGAGAGAAAGGAAGTAGCCGCCATGCACATAGCGATGAAGTCATGCTGAAAACATACACCCTACCAATAGGGGCACATGGAAAATTTTGGTGCTGGTACTCAAAACTATCCGGTAGGGGCATACTGCAAATTTGAAACCAGCACCGGTAGGTGCATAACAAAAACATTTCAGGCCCATACGGGAAATCTGAATCCTGGTCAGAGGGGCACGACAGGGTAAGTGGGCCGGAGCGCAACACAAAATAATGGAAATTACAGGGGCGCCAGACAAATTCCCCCTTCTTTTTTTATTGTTTTCCGTTTTGTTTTTTTGTCTCCTTACACTTCTTCCGTTCGTCAGATAAGTTTGAGCGGCTCGTAACAAGCCTTCCCCTTCCCTTCGGTTAACGTTTTTTTATTTTTTTTGAAGCAATGATAAACTTTTCATTACATAGGCCCAGTGCCCCAGGCTCTACACATGGCAAAGAAGCCCCTCTCAGAGGGGGGGCACATGTGTTCAAAAGAAAAAAAAGAAAAAAAAGATACATGCTACCAACGGTTAACTGTTGAAACACAGATCCGAGTTCGAGTCCGGATGACGATCACATGAACAGAATACAATAATTCTGGGTTACCTGGGACGTTTTTTTTTTTTTTTTTTTTTTTTTTTTTTTTTTTTTTCTTGTGGGACGGTGGATACATTGATGATACGTGATGTGCACATCCGCTGAATCTAGACACATGCTACCAACGGGTAGACTGTTGAAACACAGACCCGAGTTCGAATCCAGATGGCGATCAGATGAACAGAATGAAAGAATCCCCACTTACATAATGGGAGCTGCCAGGTCATTGATGATACCTCAAGGCCATCACCCTATACATAAAATAAAAAAAAGGGGGACACGTGCTTTCATTCACCCTTCACATAAATCAAAATCAGACACGTGCTTTTCATTCACCCTTCACATACAATAAAACAAGAGAGAAAAGGGAACACAGAATCAGACACATATGATATCCCTTGTATCCCTGATACCCATCACCCAGAGACTTTTGACGTGCCAAAACAGGACCTACGCACATAAGGATTTCCGAGTGAATCTTGCCGGAACTAAAGCCAAATACATCCGGGAAATCGAAACGTAATGCCCCCCAAGTAACCGCTAAGGTGATAACCGCTGACCTTGGGTTCCAACTGTCCCAACCCGCCCAACAGCATGGACCTGGGATTTCTGAAGCGAATCTTGCCAGAATTGAGGACAAATACATCCATCCACACACGTGTGCGACCATAAAACCAGCACAGTCGGAAGGACCTCTTTCGTCCTTTGCATTTTACCTGGGCGGGGCGAGATCCCACAGTCGAAATGACATCAAGGCCATCACCCTTTCTTAAAAAAAATCCATCTTCGATCTTATATCATATACCAGTGATGACATCTCAAGGCCATCACACTTTCTTTATTATTAAAAGAAAAATTAAAAAAAGAACTTGCAACCTAGGATACCAGAGTGGCCCGGGGCCACTTGCCCGGCCGGGCCCCAAAAAAATAAAAATTATGTTTCAACTTTATGTTTTATTTTAAATTTGGTAAAGAATTTCGATGTGACCCTGAGGCAAAAGTTGTTCAGTTTATTTTTCTGCATAGCATAGTTTATTTTCGGATTTTTTTATTTTTTATTTTTTATTTTTTTTCGTCCTTGCACGACCGGGCCGTCCGGGAGAATAGGGTGACCCGGGCGACCCGGTTGGTAGCCTAGCTTGCAGCATGGAATTACGAAAAAAAGAACGATTTGCACAATATATTACGCAGATCGGTGGTGGTGGGGGGTGGG